TTTTTTTTTTTTTTTTTTTTTACATTCTGTATTTGATATTTACTTCTGATTGTCAGCTTTCAGGTCAGGCACCTGTACCAGATTCCAGCAGCCCATCCCTATCCACCCCTAACGATCTTTTACTTGCAAATCACCACGACCATTTCACCTGCAGCTGCTCCCCAGGCCTCAGCTTTATTGCCTCCAAACCTCGCCTTAACATAAAAGCTCTTCCTACTTGCTCTTCGCTGATGTTTATTTCCCTGCCAGCTTTTACTTTGCATCCAGATAATAATAGTAATAAAAAAAAATAAAAATTCCCCTCTACATGCTGTACTTGCAGTATGCAAAGGAACCAAGACAACAAGAGGCTGCTCAGCAGCTTCCCAGCCAAACACCAAGCCACAAACCATCTGCAAGTGAGCGACGCAGCCGCCCGTGAGGCTTTCCCGGCAGCACCGCGCAGAGACGTGCTCGGGGAGCCCAGTGGGGACACCCCGGTGGCACAGAACCCCCCAGCGTGGCCAGCCGGCCCCCGGGCAGGGCTCTGCCGCTCACTCACCTCCGCGTTGTAGATCTGAAGCACCTTGAGGACCGTGTCCTGCTCCCCGCTCTCCACCGTGGCTACGACAGCGCTGAGCTCCATCCTCCCAACAGCTCAGCTGCAGCCAGGGGTGACACCGGGAGGAAAGGGGGTGCGGGGGCTTCCAGGGCTCCCGGGCAGCAGTGATGCCAAAGGACCTCGACACACAGATCTCTGAGAGGGAGAGAGACAGGGGTGGGGAAAGGACGGAGGGGGAAAAAACAAAACACAGAAAGAAATCCCCAAGAGAGATTGCTCACGCTGTTGCATCCATAAAAGCAGAGCAGATGGATAACCCGAGTGACACCAGCAGCCGGCTTCCTCCCTCTCCCTCTAATCCTCTTCCTCCCTTTGCTTTTCAACGTTTAATATATGCCCTCCCAGCAAAGCACTCGGGGAAAGCCTTCCCCCCGCCCAGCCAGGGATTAACACCGAGCAGATAACAGCGGCTCCCCGAAATAGCTCCTGCCTCCTCCTCCTCCTCCCCTGGCTGCCCTCATTTCTCTTACTGCGGGGGGGAGGGGGAACCATCCAAAAACATTCCAGTGGAGTGAAAAGGGACAGTGAGGAAAGGCAGAGGGATAGGACAGCATCCTCCTGGTGTGCCCGGGGTGGAGATACCTTTCAGGGTGGTGAAGCGGAGGAGATGAGGAGGGTTTATCGGAGGAGATGACGGGGGTTTATCAGTAGCCGCCGGTGGGTGTGTGGGTGCCCAGCCGGGCTGCGCAGCAGATTATGGCCGGTTCCTGGCGCTGGGGGCCCCGCGGCTCCCCCCTGACACCCGCGGGGGATAATGCGCCTCTCGGTGACACTGCGAACGAGCAGATGCGCGTAAGGACGAGGACGAGGGGATTATTTCAGCCACGGGCAGGAGTCCAGCGGCCGGTGAAGCCACGCAGGCCAGGACAGGATCCCTCACGGGAGAAACCCGGGGAGTCTGAGTGTGGATGGAGCTCATCCCGGTGCCATCCCTGTCCGGCCGGTACCCAGCACGGCCGGGCACCAATTAGATGGTACCTAATTACGAGAGGCCGCGCTGGCCCCGGCTGTGCCCAGGGGAGCACCAGGGAACGCCCCGCACCCCAACGTGGGGTTTTGGGGAGCCAAGGGCAGGTCTGGAAGCCAGAAACCCGTGGGGCCGGCGGGATGCCGGGCCGGGGCAGGCGACACCGGACCGAATCCTCCCCGTTCCTCGGGGGGAGAAGCGCAGATGGCAGCGGTGCTCCTACCGCCCCCCCCGCCCCTCCTCACGCCGCCACCTCCTTCCCCTGCCATTTTCTGCACCTTCCAAAGCCCCTCCAGCCCGTGGTTTGGCCCCAAAGGGGAGCCGGGCGGTACCTGCGGCTCCTCAGCGGCTCGGAGGCGGCCGAAGCGGGCGGGGGCCGGGCCCTCCCCCGGCCGGGAAGCGGGGCGGCCGGCGGGCCGGGGCGGGCAGCGCCGGTACCTTCCTCCCGCCGCCCCGGATCCCGGCCTCATTTCCTGGCCGCGGCCCCGGCCCTCCCCCGGCAGCGCTCCGCCGCCTTCCGCCCGGGGCGGGGCCGGGCCGGGCCTGAGGGCTCCCGGTGCCCCCCACAGCCCCCCAGGGACCGGTGGGCCCCGCCGCGGGGGAGCGGGGAGGAGGCGGTGGACGTTGAAGGGAGGCGGAGGCCGGCGCGGCTCCGCCCGGCGAGGCGGGGCCGGGGCCGCCATGGCGGAGTGGGGCCGAGGTGAGGGCCCGGGCGGAGGGAACCCCCCGTTCCCCTGCGGCCGTTTGGGGTGCGGGTGGGCGAGTGTCCCCGGGGGCGCTTGAGGGGCCGGGGGGGGGGACACGAGGCGCTGCCGCCGCCATTTGGGGGCCGCCTCAGGCGCCCCGGGGGGCAGAGCCGGGAGAGCCCCGAAGCCGTGGGGGGCCCAAGTGCCCGGATTCGCTGGATTTCACCCCAATCCCGTACTGGGGCAGCGCCGGGGGTGTCGCTGGGGCACCGGGCCCTTGTGCCGCTTCCGGCGGCTGCTGGGCCTTGGGGGCGGATCGGGGTTCCTGACCCCCTCCCTTTGGGGAAAGTTGGGAGTGTTTTCGTCAAAATGAGTTTGGGAGCGTTTGGTGGCGCAGGCCCGCGAGGAGGCAGCTGTAACGGCCTGGGTGGCAACCTGGAGACCGGTCGGGCAACAAGCCGGCCCTGCCAGGCCCTGCCACCTTGGGTGAGCAAACACAGGGGACGGCGGTCGGGCCGGATACAACTCATCCGCCACTTCTTCCCTCCCCAGGTCAGAGTCCGGGAGCCGTGGAGGATGTGCTGGACGTGGAGAACAAGCGGATGGCGGACAGCCTGGCCAGCAAGGTCACCAGGCTGAAGTCGGTGAGTGGCCACCTTGGCCTTGGGCGCCGCGGTGAAGGAAGGATGGTGACATTGTTGGTGATATAATGGTTACCTGTCACTTGTGAAACACCTGGGATGGCTTCATGAACCCCCACTTTCCTTTTGAGGTTTAGTGACATCCTGTAATGGGAATGATGCAGTTTTCATGGCGCTCAGGGAAGGAGCTATAGGCACAGAGAGAACATAAAAGCTGCAGAGAAGGGCATTGCTAAGCGCACCTGCTTGGGGGAAAAAGTCACAATAAAAGGGTGAATTAGTTTTGAAAAATACACATCTCAGTGTAATTGGTGTTCTTAAAGCTAGCTTGCCCTGACTAACATCACATACTTTGATTTAGAGCCTCATAGAAGTCAGTGACTCGCGCTGTAGAAGGGCAGGCTCTGGATTCCTGCATGTTGTGTCCCAGCATTTAAAAGCTCCTGTCCCATCTATGACCGTTTCAGACAGTCGAGCTTTATTTTCAGCACTGCAGATCTGAAAAAGTTCAACAACCTGAAACCGGAATGAGAATTTCATTCCTCTGCCGAGCAGGCCTCTGTCTGTGCAGGAGGCAGGGAAGCATCGACTCGCTTTTCTAAGGCGCGTTTCAGCACCAGATGCATTAGAGGCTCTCTCTGCACCGAAAGTTCGTTAATGCCTGTTGTCTCCTTTTCCCCATGTAGCTGGCTCTGGATATCGACAAAGATGCTGAGGAGCAGAACCGATACCTGGACGGCATGGTAAGGAACGTGGCTTTTTTGTGCTGTCTGAACTGTGGTGGTTTAACAGCAGTGAGCAGCAAAGTCAGATCCCAGTGGTCGGTTTGGCAAACCAGGCCATGGAACTAAACCCGTTTCCACGGGCTCCTCCATATATAACCATCGGTACCTGGCAGCTGCGAGTGTCCCCTTGCCCGGGTGGGCGCTCGGTGGGGATCGAGCATCGGGAAGGACGGATGCAGGACGGCACACGTCAGAAATACAGGTGGAGATTGGTTTTGTCCCCGCTGGGACTGAAGAACTGCCTCCTGTGGGTGATGCCAGAAGATGGGCCTGTTCCTCAGCTGCTCCTGGGATTTCTGGTGTCGCTGTATAAATCTGTGAGGGGTACTGACTGTAACACCTGAAACCCAGGCTGCCTGCCAGGGGTTTGTAGTTCACTGTTGTCTTTGGAAGGAGCAGAGCTGGTGTTCTGGGCGCACTCAGGGTGTTCGGTGCTCTCTTCCCTCATCTTTCTGACACACAGCACCCCATAAAACCAGAATCGCTTTCCAGAGTAATCTGCCTCCTAAGTGTTGGTTGCTGCTGAAAATCACTGCACCGGGCAAAGGCAGAGTGTTCCTGTAGCAGAGGGGGTACCTGCTGGGGCTTATTAGGAGAGAGGCAATTCATTAACTGAACTGGGAGAGGAAGGGGGCCCAGCCTGGTGGTTTGAGGAGGAGATAAGCACCAAAACGCAGGTGCTCAGGGAGCCCTTCCTGCACGTGCTGGGTGTTGGGAGAGCTGGTGCATGGAGGCAAGAGAGAAGGGAATTGCAGTGTTAAACCAGTGGAGTGAGAGGCGTGAGGTCAGCTTGGACACTCAGCAGCATGTGCTGTGGGTGTCGGAGTGTCTGAAATGGGTGTTTGCTCAGCCCGACAGGAGAATGGACAATCAGAATAAAAGGTGTGAAGGCAAAAGGCCTTAAAGGAGAAGCCTTCAGTCAGCATGAAATTACACTTCTGTTACAGAGAGGGTTTTGAAGCATTTCAGGAGTAACATGAGCAGAAGCTCCGAGTAGTTTGTAGGTAAGGAGAACAGGCCAGGAGTCAAAATTAATTGCCTGACCTGCATTAATTTGAGAAGTTTCCCACCCTCTGGTGGAGCTGCACATGTGTGTAGTCCTATGCTGAAAAAAACTGGAACTAATGGCAAGAAATGGCACCTTCTTCTGTGCTTGTGGGGCTGCCCCGGTGCACACCATTGATTCCAGCTTCATGTGGGGACCTTTCCTTTGGCCGGAGCACTCACTTGTGGAGTTGCTGTCGACAGCAGAACAAGGGCCATGGGTACAACTGCCAGCCCCGCAGCGGGTCCCGTGCCCCTGCCTGGAAAAGAAGGGTGGTTTGGTTTAGTTGGGAACAGCCCTTCCCCTCTCTGTTTTGTTTCCTGGTCTCCAGTGCAGAGGGAACGGTGCTGCTGCTGGAGGGGAAGGACCTTCCACGAGGGACAGGCAGCTGCTGTGCAGCTCCCTCTGGAAATGCGTTTTAGCCGGGAAGGGGGAGATTTTGGGAATACCTTCACCTGTTCATAACGCCTCCATCTGCATTTTCTCTCCCGCTCAGGACTCCGACTTCATGAGCGTGACGGGCCTGCTGACGGGCAGCGTGAAGCGCTTCTCCACCATGACGCGCTCCGGGAGGGATAACCGCAAGTTGCTCTGCTCTGTTTCCGTGGGACTGATTGTCATTTTCTTCATCCTCTACTATCTGGTGTCCAAAGCAGGGACTTGAGCTTGTTGTTCTGTGAGTTTTACCGAACAACACCCACGACAATTGACAGACTCGTTCACGGCCTCTCTCCCTGTGGTGGAGTCTGAGACATTCCAGACAGACCTTCCAAGAACTCTCCTTTCCACCAGCTTCTTGTCTTTGTTCTGGGTGGTCTCAGATGTTGCTTTATAAAATTATTATCTTTGATTCTAAACAGATTTCCACATATAACACAATGTTGATGCTGTTAAATGCTTACACCTTTCTCTCTTGCCTGGTTGTCTGTGTCTTGCGGCCTATTTTTAAGGGCCACTCTTGCGTTGCCTCCCTGACTGACACTGGGTACTGGGCCCTTGAGGAGATGTGGCTGACAGATCCAGAGACTCTGACACTCAAAAGTTTAATAACTTGGCCGCGCTGTGGAAGCCGTAGAGCTCAGGATGCCGGTTTATGGCAGTGTGAAGGTGTGACTTACCTTCCAGAGTGGCCACTCGGCTGAACCCGGCACTCAGTGTCCTGTTTTCAGACTTGGAAACCGTTTGGTGTCCTTGATGTCCCTGGGCTGAGATGAAATCTGTACAGCTTTGGAGGGAAATTAGCAGTAGATCTGGACCCTGGTACTGTAATTGTCACAGTGAAGAGTTGCAGAGGAGCAAAACTTTGTGTAGATGTTGGCTTGATCTTATTTATCATCCTTCTGGGTGAGGCTGGGGATGAACCTGTGAGAAAGGAGGGCCAGAGGCCATGAGCCACCTTGATTTACACACGTATTTTCCAGAACCTTCCCATGAACTTGCAGATGCACTCCCTGAGACTGTTAAATCAGAGTAAAGAAAATCTATTGGCAAAAGGTCCGGTTAATTTCAGTGATTATGGCACCGGGCCATAGAGCATTTTGGGAAGATGTTGTACAAACAAACACAGAGGCTGGAATCCAGTGAGACTCCCAGACAGGGAGGTCTGGGGTGGAGGTGGGAGGTCAAGGAGGGATTCAATCAGAGTGTTGATCTGTTTATTTATTTATTCATGTAAAAAGCCTTGCTCTGCCTATCATAGTGCTTTGGGGGTCCCTGCCTGCAGTGCTGCTGTGAGATGTGGGGCAAGGTACATCCCTCCTGCTTCTGTTCCCAAAGCAGCCGTTCCTGGATTTCCCCTCCCGAGGGGGAGCTCTGGGAGCCCCATCTCCCCTCCACCCTCCTCGCTGGGCTCATCCCCAGTGCTCGCTGTGTTCCCCCAGAGCTCAGTTATTTAACTCTGCCCATGATTGAAGAGATCTGTAACTGTAAAAATACTCTGCCTGCTGGGAGAAAGAAAAAAAAAAATTTAAAATAAAATGCTCTTTCTCTCTTCAGCCAAACCTCCACTGCCTGTCGTTTAAACCCTTCGCTGTCCAAAGCAGTGGAGCAGAGCTGCTGCTTCATCTGTTTTCTGCACCAACCACTGTTGTGTTCTGGTTTTCCTTCCTGGAAGTCTTTGCTTATTTGCTTTTCTTGCCTTCCTGTGACACCCACCTCTGCAGGACTAAAGCTTCCCCCTCGGATTTTACAGCGCTCTCCTCCAGCCAGTGTTTCTCAATGGCTGGATGGTTCCTTTGGCCCTTATACCCATCAGGAATTCCTTTGGCCTTGTACAATCCCGGTTCTACATCTGTAAATGGGCTGTTGTCCTTTGTTCCAGCTGTACCAAAGTCCTAACAAAATATTGCCCCAGCTGGATGAGGCGTCATCTTTTCCACATTTGGGAAAAAATGCGCAGGGAAGGCAAGTAGAAAGGAGGCAGCAATGGCTTTCTCTGCTCTTCTCCCTGCTTCTCCGCTAAGATGTGGCAGCTCCGAACTCTTTCCATTTGGAAGAATCCTGGATGGACTTTGGTTTGATTTTCTGAGGAAGACAACTTCTGAGGAGACGCCCCAGAACGGCCTGGTCTGCAGAAGGGTGGTGGGTTTGGTTTGCTTTGACTGCTGTAAATAAAGCTCTGGTTTTAGAATTTTTTGTCTGTTTCTCCCTTGTGCTCACAGTTCAGCAGGGCTAAATACCAGCATCGAATCGCTCAGTGGTTCTGCTTGAACTGCAGCCAACCTGCTCCCTCAGTGTCAGCATCTTCTGGGGATGGAGAGGGGGATCTGAGCAGGGCTCCCCCAGCCAGCAGCTGGCATTGCTCGGCGCGACCTCGTGCATCTTCAGGAAGAGACTGGTATCTCCAGCCCCCTCAGCAGTGACACTCCAGGAGCTGGGATGCAGTGGGAAACTTCTTTGGCATCGTTCTGTGCCGGTTTAGGTGCTAAAGCCTGGCTGTTAGTCCAGGTCCAACTCGCCCTTGGCCTTTCTTTGCAAAGGAAACCTGTTTTAATGCTTTGTCCCTAATCTTTGAATTCCTCTGGAACTCAAAAAAAAAAAAAAAAGGATTTAAAAAAATATATATTTAATTAACCTCAGGGGTTTTAAGATGACAAATGGAAATTAAAGGTTTCTTGAACCTCAGGCGAGTTGTGGCCCCCTCGGATTCCTACCGGCAGCTTTTGTGGGACCCTTTGGGCTGCGCACCCTCCTCCTCCTCCTGCTCTGGCTGATGCTCCCACAGCTGCCCTGCTCCCTTTGGCGCGGCATTTGCCACCGTTCGGCAGCAGCACGTGGCTGGTCAAAGGTGCCAATGGGCGAAGGCAGGTGCACCAGCATTGCCAGGCAGGGAACTCCATCGGGGGATTCATCTGCGTGCAGGAGCTGGTTGCAGCAGCGTGTGACCGTGCTGAGCCCTCAGAGCCTCGGAGCTGCCATGTGAGGAGGGTTTTGGGGCAAACAGTCAGAATGTGTGACCCGTAGCTGCACCCCAAAGGAACCTTGTGCCACAGCCAATGTGCTGAGGAAGTACACAATCAGAGAAGGCAGAATTCCAAATGCGGGGTAAAATCACACCAGCAGCACCACAGCAACAGGGAGCAGGGACACGTCCACAGCAGCAGGAACACCGAGTCCCGCTCTTGAAAACACCCCCCCCCCCAACCCCTCAGCCTTCTCTGAACATCTATTTGATTTGGGTAATTTGGTTAGTTTGGTTTCAGTGCTCTCCCGCAGTCCCAACAGTGCAATGGTTTTGCTGAGGGGTGAAAATGATATAGAGCTGATCTGCCTCACACACACACACACCCAGCTCAGGGTGAATACACAAAATATTTCGGGGTGTTTTTACTGAAGTAACAAACCAAGAATTAGAGCTGGGCTGTGAACTGTTTGTTTTACACGTGTTTTTTCAGCGCCATCTAAAGGTGCCTCCCCAGATCGTTTCGGGAACTCACTACATACAGAATAAATTGTACCTTTCCTGAATGCTGCGGTGCCCAGGGGAAGTGTGCACCTGGGGCCCTGCAGCCAACACCAACACCACAAATTCTTTGGGAATAATGGGATGAGAGGAATTACCAAAAGAGATCACTTCCTGCATCCATAAGCTCGCAGTTGTTCACTGGAATTAGCAGAACGCAGTTAATTGTCTGATGACGGGGGGATGGCAGGTCTCGGGGAAGCTGCCGGTGTCTGAGGATCGGTCAGTGTCACCTGGAAGGGGAAAAAATGAGGAAAAACACAGAAAAAGTGACCGTGGTGCCTTGTCCTGGGGGATACACACACCCGGGAGCTTTCAGGCAGGCAAAGGCCAGCTCTTGGTTTGACACCAAGGCAGTGAGGTGCCCAGGCCACCTGCAGGGCGAGGCCTCACCTGGAGCCGATGTCCCCGTCCCCGGTGTCCCCGACCCCGCTCCCCCCGCTCCCCCCGTCCCCGACACCAGCCACGGCCCCATAGCCAAAGGGGACCTGGGGGCCGGGACGTGTCCCCTGCCGTGCCCCCAGCCCCCCGAAAAACGTCGGGGACCCTGCGGGAGGGGATGGGGACCCGCTCGGTGTCAGGTGGAGATGAGGCCTGGGAGGCGGGGCTGGTGGGGACACCGGGGAGGGAGGGCTGGGGGGGGACGGCGGGGACGTGGTGCCGGGGCCGCCTCCGGCCGCTCACCCACGGGGGCTGGTGCCTCCTGCCGCCGCCCCGTCCCCACGGGGCCCTTGTCCCCGGGCACGGCGGGCCGGAGGCTCCGTCGGCAGTGAGCGCCATGCCGGGGCGGGCGGGCGGTTGCCGCGGCGACGGGGACGCTCCGGCGGAAGTGACGCTCGGGGGAAGGGCCGGAAGTACCGGGCGGGGGCGGAAGTGCTGGCGCGATGGCGGAGGTGGAGGCGGCGGGGAACGGGGCTGGCGGCAGCCCCGAGGCCAGCACTGGCACCGGCACTGGCACCGGCACCGGCGGGGGGGGGGGGCCCCCC